GCACGCACCACCATGCCCAGCTAATTTTTTGTATTTTTAGTAGAGACAGGGTTTCACCATGTTGACCAGGATGGTCTCGATCTCTTGACCTCGTGATCCACCCGCCTCGGCTTCCCAAAGTGCTGGGATTACAGGCTTGAGCCACCGCGCCCGGCCTCCAGTTTTTTTTTTTGAGACAGAGTCTTGTCCTATCACTCAGGCTGGAGTGCAGTGACACAATCTCAGCTCACTGCAACCTCCACTTCCCGGGTTCAAGTGATCCTCCCTCCTCAGCCTCCCAAGTAGCTAGGAACACAGGCTTGCACCACCACGTCCAGCTAATTATTGTATTTTTAGTAGACATAGGGTTTTGCCATGTTGGCCAGGCTGGTCTTGAACTCCTGGCCTCAGCCTCCCAAACTGCTGAGATAACAGGTGTGAGCAACTGCACTCTGCCTAATTTTGTTTGTTTCTTTGAGACAGAGTCAGTTGCACTGTTGCCCAGGCTGGAGTGGAATAATCTCAGATCACTGCAATCTCTGCCTCCTGGGTTCAAGTGATTCTCCTGCTTCAGCCTCCCGAGTAGCTGGTATTACAAGCACCCGCCACCATGCCTGGCTAATTTTGTATATATATGTATTTTTTTGTATAGATGGGGTTTTGCCATGCTGTCCAGGCTGGTCTTGAACTCCTGGCCTCAAGTGATCATGCCCACCTTGGCCTCCCAAAGTGTTGGGATTACAGGCGTGAGCCACCACGCACAGCCAAGAGTTAAATTTTTAAAAGGCTAGTAAAAACGAAATACTTCTGGTAAACAAAAAATACCATACATGAAGTTTCAACAAATTGTGACTGACTGGAAAAGACATTTGATATACATGCACAGACACAAGCACGCACACTCAAATATAGAAAAGTATTTGCTATATGTGTGTCTGAGTGTACACACACTCACATACATCTGACAAAGAACCTCTGTGATCAGCAAAATAAGACAAGTAACCTAATAAAAAATTTGCAAGACAAATAAAGCAGCACTTCAGAAAATGAGAAAACTCAAAACGGCTAATAAGCATAAAAATAGAAGATCAACCTCCTTGTAGTCAAATGCAAATGAAAATTAAAGATACTACTTGAAAACACTAGATTGGCAAAAATTAAGAAGTTTTATGATATTAGTACTGGCAATAATATGAGAAAATAGAAATACTTATGTATTGTTCACAGGAATATAAATTGGTACAACTATAATCTAGAGCAATTTGGCAATATTTAGTGAAAGGCTACATGCATATTTTACAGGATCCAGAAATGCTACTTCTCAGTATATACTTTAAACTGAGTCAGGAACACAAAGAGACACAGATATCTATGAAGAAATCCCCTGCAGCACTATTTGCAATACCAAAGAACTGAAAACAATTATCTATCAATCAATAAATAAAATGCTGTGATATTAGTATTTGATAGAACATAACCCAACAGTGGAGAAGAATGATTGATATATGAATATGGACAGACCTCAAAAATAATATTAAGTGAAAAAAAGAAACAGGCTGGGTGCAGTGGCTCATGCCTGTAATCCCAGTAATTTGAGAGGCCGAGGTGGGCAGATCACCTGAGGTCAGGCGATCGAGATCAGCTGGGCCAACAGAGTGAAACCACGTCTCTACTAAAAATACAAAAATTTGCTGGGCGTGGTAGCTGGTGCTTGTAATCCCAGCTACTTGGGAGGCTGAGGTAGGAGAATCAGTTGAACCTGGGAAGTAAAGGTTGCAGTGAGCTGAGATTGCACCACTGCACTCCAGCCTGGGCAACAAGAGTGAAACTCTGTCTCAATAAAAAAAGGAAAAAAAAAGAAACAATGACATGTACAGCACAATACCTTTCATGCCAAAAAAAGGAAAAAACTTTATCCATACAAAAATACTATACACTGTGCATGAATACATGTAGGTCTAAATAAATATATGGAAGATGGCTTGGAAGGACACACTTCAAATACCCAAGAGTGGATGACTATGGGTGAATAAAAGAAGGAAATTAGATCAAAGATGAGGACTGAACAAGACAAAAACTAAACTAAAACTGAATAGAAAAGAGGAATCATGGCCCGGCGCGGTGGCTCAAGCCTGTAATCCCAGCACTTTGGGAGGCCGAGGCGGGTGGATCACGAGGTCAAGAGATCGAGACCATCCTGCTCAACATGGTAAAACCCCGTCTCTACCAAAAATACAAAAAATTAGCTGGGCATGGTGGTGCGTGCCTGTAATCCCAGCTACTCAGGAGGCTGAGGCAGGAGAATTGCCTGAACCCAGGAGGCGGAGGTTGCGGTGAGCCGAGATCGCGCCATTGCACTGCAGCCTGGGTAACATGAGTGAAACTCCGTCTCAAAAAAAAAAAAAAGAAAAGAGGAGTCATGTATGGACTGATACGACCAAGGATCATAAACTGAGAAGACTGTCTGAACAATCACTTTTGATGTTTCTGGAGTATAAGCCAAACATAAAATCAACATAAAAGCCAAACATAAAATTGGTTCGATTTCCCTACCCCCCAAATATCATAAAAGCAGGTGCTTAAAGGAAATATCAAAGAAGTGAAAGAAAAGGAACTGGCTGCCTGCCTGTCAAGATAGCTTACCGGAGAACACAGCACATGAGCAGCAGATGGGTGGGGACATTAGCTGGATTTAGCATACTGGGTGTGTCTGACTTCATACAGGCCAGGAAGGCCCGCATCCTTCTGTTCTTGTCTTCAACTGCTTTGCCTAGCCAGAGCTTCTTGAGGTTTGGGCAAGTCCATTCCCGAAAGGTCAGCGCAGACACCAGCTCAGGGGTTTGAGGTGACTTCCCTTTATAGGCAGACCACTCTTTAAGGATCACTGAAGGAACTGGAAAACAGAAATTGAGAGAAAAAAAGCTCTAGAGAATCTCTTAGAATTTCTACAGCTAGCCACAGTATCCACTGACAGGCTCCACTGCATTTCAGCTCTTAATTTTTTGTCACAATAATTTTTATTTTTAGCAGCAGGAATAGTACACATTTATTAAGTGCTTCATATGCAAGTACTTTACATATATTATCTCATTTAATCCTCACAAAAATCCTGAGAGGGAACTATTATGATACATTATCACAAAACATAATGCTTATTTTGCAGATAAAGAAATCAAGGGGTTGGGTGTGGTGGTTCACATGTCTAATCCCAGCAATGTGGGAGGCTGATGCAGGAGGACTGCTTGAGCCCAGGAGTTCAAGATCAGCCTAGGCAAGATGGAGAGATCCTACCTCCACAGAAAATTTAAAAACTAGCTGGGTGTGGTGGCACGTGCCTGTAGTCCCAGCTACTTGGGAAGTTCAGGCAGGAGGATCCCTTGAACCTAGGAGTTTTGAGGCAGCAGTGAGATATCCTGCCACTGTACTCCAGTCTGGGTGACAGAGCTAAATCCTGTCTCTAAAAAACATAAATAAGGCTAGGCATGGTGGCTCACACCTGTAATCCCAGCACTTCGGGAGGCCGAGGTGGGAGGATCACTTGAGGTCAAGAGTTCAAGACCAGCCTGGCCAACATGGTGAAACCCCATCTCTACAAAAAGAAAAAAAAACAACAACAAAAACCAAAGTTAGACAGGCATAGTCGCGGGTGCCTGCAATCCCAGCTACTCTGGAGACAGAGGCAGGAGAATCACTTGAGCCTGGGAGGCAGAGGTTGCAGTGAGCTGAGATCGAGCCACTACACTCCAGCCTGGGCGACAAAAAGAGACTTTGTCTGAAAAAAATAATAAATAATAACTTGGAGAAAGAAATCAAGGCCCAATGTCACACATTTCTTTTCTTTTCTTTTTTTCTTTGAGACAGAATCTCGCTCTGTCACCCAGGCTTGGAGTGCGGTGGTTCAATCTCCGCTCACTGAAAAATCTGCCTCCTGGGTTCAAGTGATTCTTCTGCCTCAGCCTCCTGAGTAGGTGAGACTACAAGCGCCTGCCACCACGCCCAGCTAATTTCTGTATTTTTAGTAGAGACGGGGTTTCACCATATTGGCCAGGCTGGTCTCAAACTCCTGATCTAGTGATCTACCTGCCTTGGCCTCCCAAAGTGCTGGGACTACAGGCGTGAGCCACCTCGCCCAGCTCTACACATTTCTTAGTTACTCTGAATCTAATTTTTTAGTAGATGCACCAGGCTAGACAAGGAAAGCAGCACAAGGAAGAATCATGTAAATATCTGGCTTCATAATACACAAGATATCCGAGAAGACATTAAGATATTTCACAAAATTCTAAAAAAACCAACATCTTTGAGATTTGCAAAGGCACAACAGACCAGGAAAACATGGCTTCTATATACGTCTACTCCATCTCAGACTCCTCAGCTATGGCCTCCCTCTTCTATTTGAGACGTCTAGCATCTATTCAATCACCCAAGCAAGAGACTTGGAAATCATTCAGTTATTACCAAGGTCTTGCTGATTCTTTTTTGTTGTTGTTTTTGAGACGAAGTCTCCCTCTGTCACCCAGGCTGGAGTGCAGTGGTGCAATCTTGGCTCACTGCAACCTCCGCCTCCCAGGTTCAAGCTATTCTCCTGCCTCAGTCTCCTGAGTAGCTGGGATTACAGGCGTGTGTGCCACCATGCCCAGCTAATTTTTAAATTTTTAATAGAGACAGGGTTTCACCATGTTGGCCAGGATGGTCTTGATCTCTTGATCTCATGATCCGCCTGCGTTGGCCTCCCAAAGTGCTAGGATTACAGGCATGAGCCACCGTGCCCGGTCAAGTCTTGCTGATTCTACCTCCTTATCATCCCTTCTATCTGTCCCATTTTTTCTATCACAACAAATATTGTGGTGGTTCAAATATTATCTTTGATCTGACAAGAGTCTCAAGACTGTTCCTACCTTTATTCTATTTGGTCTCCCTCATACCCATGCTCCACAACCACTAGAATGTTATTATTTAAAAAATTCTTTTAGTCTGAAATAATTATAGATTCACAGGAAGTTGCAAAGATAGTACAGATAGGTCCTGTGTACCCTTCACTCAATTTCTCCAATGGTGTTTTATCTTAAATAATTATAATACACCATTAAAGCCAGCAAAGTGACACTGGTACAAGGTAAGTGTGTAGTTCTGTTATATAGATTTGTGTATCCACCACTGCAGTCAAGATACAGAACAAATCCATAACCACAAAGATTTCGATTGTGCCAACCCTGTATAGTCACAAACGACGCCTTTCAGCACCATGCCTAACTCACAGAAACCACTAATGTATTCTCCATCTACAATTTTGTCATTTTGAGGACATCATATACGTGGAATAATACAGTATATGATCTTTTGAAACCGGCATTTTTCACTCAGCATATGCCCTTAAGATCCATCCATGTTGCTGCATGTATCAATAGTTCTTTTTTTTTTTTTTTTTTTGGTGACTAGCATTCCATGGTATGGATGTACCACAGTGTAAACATTCACCCATTGAAGCATATCTGGGTTGCTTCCAGTTTGGGGCTACCATGCTGTCTTGTGAATATGTTCCTGCATGAAAATAAGTCTTTATTTCTCTGATATAAGTGCCAAAGAGTGTAAGTGCTGGGTTGTATAAGTCTATTTTCAGTTTTGAAAGAAACTGACAAATTATTTTCCAGAGTGGCAGTACCATTTTACATTCCCATCAGCATTTATGAGTGATCCAGCTTCTCTGCATCCTTTCCCGGACAATGGTATTATCACTATTATTCACCTTTCCCATTTTGGTAAATGTGTAGTGATATTTCATTGTGGTTTTAATTTGTATTTTTCTTTTTTTCTCTTCTTGAGATGGAGTCTTGCTCTGTCACCAGGCTGGAGTGCAGTGGCGCAATCTTGGCTCACTGCAACCTCCACCTCCCGGGTTCAAGTGAGTCTCCTGCCTCAGCCTCCTGAGTAGCTGGGACTACAGGTGCACGCATGCCACCATGCCCAGGTAATTTTTGTATTTTTAGTAGAGATGAGGTTTCACCGTGTTGGCCAGGATGGTCTTGATCTCTTGACCTTGTGATCCACCCACCTTGGCCTCCCAAAGTGCTGGGATTATAGGTGTGAGCCATTGCACTTGGTCTTAATTTGTATTTTTCTAATGGCTACTGATGTTGAACATCTTTTCATGTCTTTATTTGCTATATGTAGATCTTTTTCAGTGAGATGTCTGTGCATATCTTTTGCCAATTTTCTAATTTGATTTTTTTGTTATGTTCAGTTTTGAGAGTTCTTTATATATTTTAGATACCAGTATAGATATGTGGTACTTGTTCAACTGTGGATGTCCAGTTGATCTAATATCATTTATAAAAAAAAAAACACTGTCTTTCCTCCCATCAAGTGCTTTTGTAGCTTTGTCAAAAATCAGTTTGCTGGCCAGGCACAGTAGCTCACACCTGTAATCTAAGCTGAGGCTGAGGCAGAAGAATTGCTTGAGCCTGGGAGGCAGAGGTTGCAGTGACCGGAGATCGTGCCAGTGTGCTCCAGCCGCAGCAACAGAGCAAGACTCTGTCTCAAAAAAAAAAAAATCAGTCTGCTGTATTCATATGGGACTATTTCTGGATGCCCTGTTGTATTCCACTGATCTACATGTTAATACCTCTGCCTATAGTCTTTGAGATAGGGTCTCTCTTTGATACCCAGACTGCAGTGCAGTGGCATGATCTCAGCTCACTGCAACCTCCACCCCCCGGGGTCAGGTGATCCTCTCATCTCAGACTCCTGAGGAGCTGGGACCACAGGTGCACACCACCACATCCGGCTGTTTTTTTTGTGTGTGTATTTTCAGTAGAGATGGGGTCTCCCCATATTTCCCAGGCTGGTCTTGAATTCCTGAGCTCGAGGGATCCATCCACCTTGCCCTCCTAAAGTGCTGGGATTACAAGCATGAGCCACCATGCCTGGCCTACAATCTTAATTACTGTAGTTACCCAATAAGTCTTACAATCAGGTTCAACAACTGCTTCCAACTTATTCTTCCTTTTCAAAAATCATTTTAGCTTGTTTAATTCCTTTGTCTTTCCATATAAACATTACAATTATCTTGTCTGTATCTACAAAGAATCTTGCTGGGATTTGGACAGGAATTGCATCAAACCTTTGTTATCAATTGGGGGAGAACTGACATCTTTACTATGTTGAGTTTTCTAATTCATGAACATCTGTATCTCTCCATTTATTTAGATCTTTTATTTGTTTCATCAGCGTTTTGTGACTTTCAGCATACAGATTTTGAATACCTTTTGTTAAATGTTTATTTCATTTTCTCTGGAAGGACTGTAAATGGTCCTGCATTTTTTTGTTTCAGTTCCACATATTCATTGTCAGTATATAGAAAGGTAATCAATTTTTATGTTCATCTTGTATCCTGCAACCTTAACAAACCCGCTTATTAGTTGCAGGAGTTTTGTTGTAGATTCCTTGTGATTTTCAACATAGACTAACTATATGTCATCTGCAATTACAGTTTTATTTCTTCCTTACTGATGTCTGTGCCTTCCATTTCATTTTCTTGCCTTACTGCACTGGCTAAAACTTCTAGTACTATGTTGAAGAGTAGTGGAAAGAGCACACATCCTAGCCTTGTTCCTGATTTGAGGGGAAAAACATTATCTTTCACCACTAGGTATAGTTGATCCTTGAATACAAGTTTGAACTACACAGGTCCACACACAAATTTTTTTCAACCAAACACAGACAGAAAATACAGAATTCACATGATGCCAAACCCACGTATATAGAGGGCCAATTTTGGTACACACAGGTTCTGCAGGGCCTACTGTGGGACTTGATTATGAGTGAATTTTAGTATATGTGGGGGTCCTGGAACCAATCCCCCACATATGGCAAGGAATGACTGTATGTTAGCTGTAGGTTCTTTGTAGATATTCTTTATCTTAAGGAAGTTCCCCTCTATTCTTGTAGTTTCCTGATAGTTCTTATCATAAGTGAGTGTTGAATTTTGTCAAATGCTTTCTCTGTATCCATTGATATAATCATGATTTTTTTTCTTTAGCCTTTTTATTTGGTGGATTATATTTATTGATTTTTCAAATATTGAACAAGGCTTATAACAATGGAATAAACCCTACTTGGCCTTGGCCATGGCATGTAATTCTTTTTATATATTGCTGAATTCCCCTGGCTAATATTTCGTTAAGAATTTTTGCATTCATATTGTCTTAGTCAATTTGGCTGCCATAACTAAGTACCAAATACTGAGAGGCTTATAAATAACAGAAATTGATTTATTACGATTGTTGAGGCTGGAAGTCTAAGATCAAGATATTGGCAGACACATCCGGTGAGGACCTGCTTCCCGGTTTGCAGATGGCTGTCTTCTCATTGTATGTTCATATAGTGGAGAGTAGAAAGAGCTATCTGGGGTTCCTTTTATAAGGGCACTAATCTCATTCATCAAAGGTTCCACACTCATGACTTATTACCCCCCAAAGGCCCCATCTCCTAATATCATCACATTGTGGGTCAGGATTTCAACATATGAATTGTGGAGGGGGGGCAGAAACACTCAATCCATAACATACATTGATGAAGGATATTGGTCTGAAGTGTTGATTTTATGTACTGCGTTTTCTTTTTAAGAGATGAGGTCTTACCCTGTTATCCAGGCTGGAGTGCAATGGAGCTATCATAGCCCACTGCAGCCTCAAACTCCTGGGTGCAAGCAATCCTGCAGAATAGCTGGGACTACAAGTGTGCACCATGCCCAGCCATATTAAAAATAATAATTTTTTTTTTTTTTTTTTTAGTGATGGGGTCTCACTATGCTGCCCAGGCTGGTGTCAAACTCCTGGTCTCAAGCATCTTCCCACCTGGGGCTCCTAAGTACTGAGATTATACATGTGAGCCACCATGCTTGGCCCAGGTATCTTTTTTGATATAATAATTTCTTTCCCTTTGAATGTATACCCAGTAGTGGGATTGCTAGATCGAATGGTAGTTCATTTTTAGTTCCTTGAGAAATCTCTATATTATTTTCTATAAAGGTTGCACTAATTTACATTCACACCAAGAGTATATAAGCATTCCCTTTTCTCTGCATCCTTGCCAACATCTGTTGGTTTTAGGCTTGGTTCATTGCAACCTCCACCTCCCAGGCTCATGCAATTCTCGTGCCTCAGCCCTGCTCTCCTTCCCACCCCCTTCCCACATCCTCGAGTAGAAGGGATTACAGGTGCATGCCACCGTGCCCAGCTAGTTTTTTGTATTTTTAGTAGAGACGGGGTTTCTTCATGGTGGCCAGGCTAGTTTCAAACTCCTGGCCTCATGTGATCTGCCCACCTCAGCCTCCCAAAGCGCTGGGATTACAGGCATGAGCCACTGCACCCAGCTCATTGTGGTTTTAATATGCATTTCTCTGATGACTAGTGATGCTGAGTATTTTTGCATGTATTTGTTGGTAACTTGTACATCTTCTTTTGTAAAATGTCTGCTCTTGTCCTTTGCCTACTTTTTAATGGGATTGTTTGCTTTTTTCTTGAGTTGTTTGAGATCCTTATAGATTCTGAGTGTTAGCCCTCTGTCCAATGCAGTTTGCAAATATTTTTTCCCATTCTTTAGGCTATTGACTCTGTTGTTTCTTTTGCTATGCAAACATCAAACCCATTTATAACTGTTTACCAAAGCATTTTTATGGTGGCTGTTTTAAAATCCTTGTGAGATAATTCAAACTTCTGTCATCTCTATGTTCATTTTCTTTTTCTTTCTTTTTTTTTTCTTGAGACAGAGTCTCACCCTGTCACCCAGACTGGAGTGCAATGGCACGATCTCAGCTCACTGCAACCTCTGCCTCACGGCTTCAAGCAATTATCCAGCCTCAGCCTGTCAAGTAGCTAGGATTACAGAAACGCGCCACCACATCTGGCTAATTTTTTGTATCTTAAGAAGAGACGGGGTTTCACCATGCTGGCCAGGCTGGTCTCGAACTCCTGACCTCGTGATCCGCCTGCCTCAGCCTCTCAAAGTGCTGGGATTACAGGCATGAGCCACTGCACCCGACCTCTACGTTCATTTCCTTTTCTTATCTTGAGGTCTGCATTTGAGATCTTTCTGGTTCTAGGTGTGATGAGGGATTTTCAATTGAAAACTGGATATTTTGGGTATTATTTTAAAAGACTCTGGATCTTACTTAAACCTTACTCTGGTGGGTAAAGGGGGACACTGTGTCATTGTCAGGTGGAAGTGGAAGTCTTGGCTCCCCACTTGACCTTGTCTGACACCTCCCCAGGAAAGCAGGTGGTACACCTCATTACAGCCTGGGTAACTATGGAAGTCTAGGCTCTTCATTTGGCCTTTGCTGGTAGGGGTGGGAGTAGACCACAGTTTTTCTGTGGTATCTGGCTAGAGTACAGAGGTTATTATGTAAAAATCTTTGTGTTGCTAGGTTGTTCCTTTCTGGTCTTTTGGCCAGAGAAAGGAGGTTTTGGGAGGGCCTTATACTGGTCTGCAGCTGTTGACATTTCTGGGCTGCCAGTTTGCCCCACACCCAGTCTGGGATATGTGAGGCAAGAAGAAAATTCAGGAACTCACCACTGCACCACTGTGTCATTCCTTAAGCCCCAGGATCTCTACTTTCTAGAATGTCTTGTGCTTGTTTTATGGATAATGTCCTGGGCGTTTAGTTGTACTTAGCATGAGGACTAAGGAAAAGTAAATCTGATCTACTCTAGCTTCCCAGAAACAGAGAAATGGTCTTTTGAACATACTAATTTTTTTTTTTTTTTTTTTAAAGACGGGCTTTCACCATGTTGGTCAGGCTGGTCTTGAACTCCCGACCTCAGGTGATCTGCCCGCCTTGGCCTCCAAGTGCTTGGATTACAGGTGTGAGTCACCACGCCTGGCCTGAACATACTAATTTGACTATGGCACTCTGTAGTTTAAAATATGGCAATGTCTCCAACTACCTACAGGTTCAAATTCCAAAACAAAAAATTCGTGGAAGAGAAAGACTGCTAGATACAGCTCTATGTTCCCAAAACTCAGTACGGTTATTTCTTTTTTGTGTGTAAGACAGGGTCACCCAGGTTGGAGTGCAGTGGCACAATCATAGCTCACTGCAGCCTCCACCTCCCAGGGTCAAGTGATCTTCCTGTCTCAGTCCCACAAGTAGCTGGTACTAAAAGCATGTGCCACCATCCTCAGCCAATATATTTTTTGAGACAGGGTCTCACTCTGTCACCCAGGTTGGAGTACAGTAACATGATCAGGGCTCACTACAGCCTTCACCTTCCAGACTCAATCAGCTCTCCCATCTTAGCCCCACAAGTAGCTGAGACTACAGCTGCGCACAACTTTGCTTGACTAATTTTTTCTCTTTTTAGTAGAGGCAGTTTCTCCATGGTGCCCAGGCTGGCCTTGAGCTCGTGGACTCAAGAGATCCATCTGCGTCCGCCCCACAAAGTGCTGGGATTACAGGAATGAGGCGCCCTGCCTAGCATTTTTTATAGTGATGGAGTCTTGCCATGATGCCCAGGCTGGTCTCGAACTCCTGAGCTTAAGTGATCCACCTGTGTTGGCCTTCCAAAGTGCTGGAATGACAGGTATGAGCTGCTATGCCTGGCCGAGCATGGTTCCTATAAAGAGTAGTCACTCTAAATGCTTAATAATTGCAGAATTGGGGCTTAAGTTAATGTATATCTAATACCAATATGTATTCTGTTGAATGTTGCATTTTCTTAAATAGGTACCCAATGTGCCTGCACAGACATAATAGCTCTGTGTCAAGTGCTGAGAGAATTGTCATAGCTAGAACTACACTTACCTTCCACAGGCAGCCGCCGTCGCATGGCCAAACGTTCCATTTTCCTCTGTGTCTCTGCCAGACTAAAAAGAACTCCATATACATATTGACGAGCTGACCGGAATAAGAGAGCAGCTGGAGGCAGCTCCATGTTACACTCATCCTCGATACATACGGGAATCTTAATTTCACCCTAACAAGAGAAAGGTTCAGGGAAAAGAAAAAAATGAGTTACCTTAAGTTTAGAACTGAGCTGAGAAGAACCAATGATAAACTGTAGCCTCTGTGGCTTATCCGCTAAATTTTTTATTTGTATTTAGACAGCGTTTCATACTAAAAAGAAGCTGTAACAAGCTTAGCTCATCATAGTCAACTTAAAAAATAAATTTCATTTTTATTTTAATTTTTTGAGACGAAGTCTTGCTCTGTCGCCCAACTGGAGTGCAGTGGTGCAATCTCGGCTCACTGCAACCTCCGCCTCCTGGTTCAAGTTAATTCTCCTGCCTCAGCCTCCTGACTAGCTGGGATTACGGGTACATACCGTAATGACACCTGGCTAACTTTTGTATTTTTAGTACAGATGGGGTTTCACCATATTGGTGAGGCTGGTCTCAAACTCCTAACCTCGTGATCCGCCCACCTCGACCTCCCAAAGTGCTGGGATTACAGACGTGAGCCACGTGCCCCGCCTCTGTATTTCATTTTTGAAGTCTCAGCAGCCAGGCACGGTGGCTCACGCCTGTAATCTCAGCACTTTGGGAGGCCGAGGTGGGTGGATCACCTGAGGTCAGGAGCTCGAGACCAGCCTGGCCAACATGGTGAAACACTGTTTGTACTAAAAATTCAAAAGTTAGCCAGGCATGGTGGCACATGCCTATAATCCCAGCTACTCAGGAGGCTGAGGCAGGAGAATTGCTTGAACCTGGGAGGCGGAGGTTGCAGTGAGCCAAGATTGCACCCTTGCACTCCAGTTGGGCAATAGAATGAGACTCTGTCTCAAAAAATAAAATAAATAAAGTCTCAACAATAACTGACTATAGCTAAGTAATGGGGAATGTCCACCTTAGCCATTTTGCTGGGAGATGGGTATGTATAAGACTGGAGGAGGGGAACAGCTTTACACAGGTAGAGAAAGAGATAAGTAAAAGGGCATAATGCTTCTTAGACTGTGTCCATCCCTAGAACCAGAGTCCACCAACTTGGTGCATTATCTACTTCAAAATCTCACAATCACACTTCTGTTCTAGGGGCTTCATTTACCACACAGTCCCAACTCCTGCTAGTGTGGCCTCACCTAAGGCCTTAGTATGATGAGGGGCCCACCGTATGTGGTCTCCTTTTTCTGACTTCATATACCAATGATCAGAATGTTCTCTGGTAACTTACAGTCCTAGGAAGTAGGAAATACAGTGTTAAGAGCAGGGATGTAAGTGCTGATGTGCTGCCTCACCTTAGTGAGGACATGGTAGATATACGGGTACATAAGACCCCTCCGGTGTCTGTGTTCAGCAACTCTCAAGACTTCTGGAGCTACTGGAGGTAAGGGTGGAATGGTGATATCCATGTGGTTCCTCGTAGACATAGACAGCAGAGATGGGATGTGGGGCTCGCCATCACCTAGGCTCGCTTCTGAAACTCCAGTATCAACAGGCTGTGGCCAGGACCCTCTGTCACGATTAGGATTTTCCCACTCTGGCTGGTGCGGAAGTGATTCTGTGATATGACTAAAAAATTTAGAAAGACAGTGTCAAACAGAAAAGGGAGACTGATAAAAATATTCCTACTCAAGATGCCTGTTCTGGACCCAAGGAGTCTGACAAACCCTTTGAAGGTCAGGACACTGGGTTAACACTGGACTTCTTGGCTTCTTTCATCTGACACCAACCAAAGCGATCAAGTCATTGGAATCACTCTGGACCCTTTATACCTTGTAAGATGCCGTACTTAGAGTTTTTTTTTTTTTTTTTTTTTTTTCCCGAGACGGAGTTTTGCTCTTGTTGCCCAGGCTGGAGTGCAGTGGTGAGATCTCAGCTCACCGCACCCTCTGCCTCCTGGGTTCAAGCGATTCTCCCGCCTCAGCCTCCCGTATAGCTGGGATTATAGGCATGCGCCACTACACCTGGCTTATTTTGCATTTTTTAGTAGAGACGGGGTTTCTCCATGTTGGTCAGGTTGGTCTTGAACTCCTGACCTCAGGTGATCTGCCCACCTCAGTCTCCCAAGTGCTGGGATAATAGGCATGAGCCACTGTGCTCAGCGAGTTTGCTTATGTTTTAAGAAAATAATCACAATTACAACCTCAAAGCAGTTCTGTTTCCCAGCAATAATCTGCTTAGAGGAATAATCTATGAACAAATGAGCTAGCACAAATCCCACTCTTTTAATCCTCAGAACCCTGTCTTAGTAAGCAATATAATTGCTTACTCAACTATTCCACTATTTCTACTCCATAAATGCTTTTCTTTTTTTTTTTTTTTTTTTTGACATTTAATCTACCCTTCTCACAAATTAAGAAATGACAGCCACACTATCTACACCAAGGCTTCCTTAACCAGCTACTATCCTGCCTTTTACCTCAGTGGCCTGGGTGTTTGAAAATTTCCATCTGCACAGGGCCAAATAAGCATGAAGTGGGTAAGCAGAGAAAAAGTTTTCCTACTTTGCTTTCCTAAGAGCAAAACACTACAGAGGAAAGCCAGAAAAGCCAGGAATTATACTTCCCCACACCCTCTACCCATCTAACAAGTAAAATAACACAGATACCTCAGATATCTATTTCCCTAAGCGTCTATAGAGATACTTACTCAGTGCTAGCTCCATTTGGCTCATCACCATCAGAGGAAGAGGACTGGGAAGAGTCTGGTCCCAAAGGAGGTGATGCTTTAGAAGGCAGGTAATTGGGAAACTGGGATGCAGAAGAGTCATAAGAGACAGCCCAATTGGCAAAGGGGCTGTTCTGCAGCATGGGATCCTCAGAAAAAGCATGGGATTCCCCCAAAGTATGGGAGGAGAAGAGAAGAGATGAGTTGGGTCCCACTGGGAATGGTGATGGATATTTCACTTTCTGGGGCACTTGGTGAGAGAACTAAAGGATAAAACAGACGGAAAAGCTATTTAACATTTTACAAGGCTCCAAGATGGCTCCCTCTGAAGTTGTGAGTGACACAGTGGATGATGCCAGTAGCAGAGATTGTTGAGATACAAAGTACCTAGTGAGAATAATGAGAAATGATTCTAACAGTGACGTATGAACAGAAGGCTCCACAGGCAGGACAATGAACAGTTGAGGACTCCTAGAACTATTCTCTGATATTAGCTAATCCACTTTCACAACGACTAGTGGTACTGATTTGGATACTTTTTTTGCATAGTCTTCCAGCCTTAAGTTGAGAAGGTAAAATAGGTATATATGGCCTTGAAGTCTAGCAACACTGAATTACCCTAACTACTCAGATTACAAAAATCAGGAAGCAACTTGAGTCTAATGCTAATAAATGGTCTCAGGCTAAAGGATGCTTACCATTGGCTTTCCAGTAGAAATGGCGCCCACCTGATTTTGTGGAGGGGGAGGATTTCCAAGCCTATTATTCCGAAAACCTGAAGCCAAGAGAAACAGATATACTTCAATCAATTCCAATAATTCTTCAGTCAATTCTAATAATTCTACCAAGTTATATTCTGCTCACCCTGTATCACCTGAAAAATTGTTATTAATAAGTTATAATTTATTGAACAGCTACTATGCACCATGCTGCAAAGCTGACATAAATTATTTCATCTGGTAAGAATCTTATAAAGTAGGTATCATGAGCCACATTTCATACAAATGTGACTTGCCAAGGTTCATTTGCTAGTAATTAGCAGAGATGGAATTCCAACTTAGGCCAGATCCCAAAGACAGGGCTATTTTACATATACCAGGCCAGAATGGGGGTTGGCATCAGAAGAAGCTCAAGCTAAGGAAACGGCATTGTACCCCATCTATAAATTTGAGAAAGCAGGCCCCCCACTTTTTTTTTTTTAAGACGGAGCTTCACTCTTGTTGCCCAGGCTGGAGTGCAATGGCATGATCTCAGTTCAGTGCAACCTCCGCCTCCTGGGTTCAAGGGATTCTCCTGCCTCAGCCTCCCGAGTAGCTGGGATTATAGGCACCTGCCGCCATGCTTGGCTAATTTTTGGTATTTTTAGTAGAGACAGGGTCTCCCCATGTTGGCCAGGCTGGACATGAACTCCTGACCTTAGGTGATCCGCCCGCCTTGGCCTCCCAAAGTGCCAGGATTACAGGTGTGAGCCACCACACCTGGCCAGGGCCCTTCTTATGTTATGTTTCTTATGACATAGAAATCAAAAGGAGAAAGCCTACCAAACAGGGATAAGGGATGACTTGTAGGATGATACAACACCAGTGAGTGATTCCACTCTGGCTCTGGAGTTCCTGAGAAACCAACTCAGTTTCCCCTATGAATAGAGCAGCTTAGGGTAAGATGGAAGCCTTACCTAGAAAGGAGGGACCCACTGGCAGTGAAGAGAGTTTGGTTGTGACTGAATAGTACTCAACTGCTTTCTTGAATCGCTCTATTTTATCTTCTGTCCTGGACTGGATGTTGGAACATCAGATTTTCAGAAAAAGAAACAACATGAGAGTGTTTTTTTAATACAATTTATAATTTGGGAGTTAAAATAATGATCAGAAATCAAATATTTAAAGAAACCTAAGACAGCAAATTTTTGCTTGGCAGAAAAGATTAGGCAGGGAGAAAGCATTATGAAACATAAAATATGGAATACTTAAAAAAAGCTTACTTATGTTTTGTGCTATTCTAAAATGACTACATGATTATTACAAAAAATACATTAGGGTAAGAGGGAAAAATCACATAGTAGGACCATCCAAAGATATTTTGGTATCTTCCCTTACAGTTTTAATTCTATTATTTTATTATTTTTATTATTATTATTATTTTTTGAGACTGAGTCTCACTCTGTCACCCAGGCTGGAGTTCAATGGTGCCATCTTGGCTCACTGCAACCTCCACCTCCCGGGTTCAAGTGATTCTCCTGCCGCAGCCTCCCACGTAGCTGGGATTACAGTGTGTGCCACCACTCCCAGCTGTTTTGTATTTTTAGTAAAGATAGGGTTTCACTACATTGGCCAGGCTGGTCCTTTAACTCCTGACCTCAGGTGATCCACCCGCGTTGGCTTCCCAAAGTGCTGGGATTACAGGCATGAGCCACCGTGCCCAGCCAATCTTTTTATTTTTGCTCAGGCTGGTTTCAAACTCTCGGCTTCAAGCAATCCTCCCACCTCAGCTTCCCAAAGTCCTGGGATAACAGGCATAAACCACTGTGCCTGGCTTACAATATTATTTTATATAATTTTTTTTGTTGAGGTATAGCTGGTCTATTCTATACAATTTTGTATCTTGCTTTTATTATAATCATCATCTAATCTAAGTAATTTTGAATGGCTGCATATTTTGTCATTATGAATGTGTCATAAATTATGTAACCTCTTCCCTAATATCCAACAGTTAGGTAGTTTTTCACATTTGGCTTTTATAAGATATACAGCAAAGAGTATATATTGTCTATATAATTTTTTTTCTTGATTTCAGATTATGCTCTTAGGAAAATATCCTAAAAATAAAATTGATTCAAAAGTTATGAACATTAAAACCAAAGGCACTTACACATATATAAAACCACAATATGACACCACTACATATCCACCAGAATGGCTAAAATAAAGGACTATCAATATCAAGCACTGGCAACGATATGAAATAAATGAACTCCAGTACACTGATGGTGGGAGCATACACTGGTACAGTTTGGAAAACAATTTGGCAGTTTCTAATACAATTAAATTATACTTACCATATGATACAGCAATCCTACTTCTAAGTATTTATCCAAGAGAAACTAGTACGTATATCCACCAAAAGACATGAACAAGAATGTTAACTGCTTTATTCATAATAGCCCCAAACTGGAAACAACTCTGTATGTATATCAATAGAAGAATAAATAAATTGTGGTATATTCATACAATGGAATACTATACAGTAATAAAAAGAACAAAGTATTGATATACACAATAATATGTGTAAGTCTCAAAGATATTATACTGACTGAAGAAGGGAGACACAAAAGAGTACATATCAGCTGGGTGTGGTGGCTCACACCTGTAATCCCAGTACTTTGGGAGGCTGAGGCAGGCAGATCACTTCCACCCAGGATTTCAGACCAGCTTGGGTAACATGGCAGAACCCCATCTCTACAAAAAACACAAAAATTAGCTGGGTGTGGTGGCGTGTGCCTGTAGTTCCAGGTACTTGGGAGGCTGAGGTGTGAGGACTGCTTGAGCCTGGGAGGTCAAGGCTGCAGTGAAATTGTGCCACCGCACTCCAGCCTGGGCAATAGAGTGAAACAAGAAAGAAAAAGAAAGGAAAAGAAAGGAAAGGAATGGAACGGAATGGAAAGGAAAAAGGAAAGGAAGAGAAGGAAGGAAAAGAAGAGAAGGAAGGGAAGGAAGGAAGGAAGGAGGGAAGGAGGGAGGGAGGGAGGGAGGGAAGGAAGGAAGGAAGGAAGGAAGGAAGGACAAGCAAAGAAAAAAAAAGGAGTACATATAAAGTTCAGGTAAAGGAGGGCCGGGCACAGTGGCTCACACCTGTAATGTCAGCACTCTGGGAGGCTCAGGCGGGGCTCACCTGAGGCCAGAAGTTCAAGACCAGCCTGGTCAACATGGTGGAACTCTGTCTCTACTAAAAATACAAAAATTAGCTAGGCATAGTGGCACATGTCTATAATCGCAGCTACTTGGGAGACTGAAGCAGGAGAATTGCTTGAACCTGGGTGGCAGAGGTTGCAGTGAGCCGAGATCACACCATTGCATTCCAGCCTGGGCAACAAGAGCAACACTCCATATCAAAAAAAAAAAGTCATTTTTACTTTTTCATTATAAAAATGTTCTTGGGCGGGACGCAGTGGCTCACACCTGTAATCCCAGCACTTTGGGAGGCCGAGGCGGATGGATCACGAGGTCAGGAATTCAAAACCAGCCTGGCCAAGATGGTGAAACCCTCTCTACTAAAAATACAAAAATTAGCTCAGCGTGGGGGCGGGTGCCTGTAATCCCAGCTACTCAGGAGGCTGAGGCAGAGAATTACTTGAACCTGGGAGGCGGAGGCTGCAGTGAGCCAAGATCACACCATTGCACTCCAGCCTGGGCAACAGAGTAAGTCTCTGTCTCAAAAATAAATAAATAAATAAATCTCTCATGTAGGCATATTTTTATGTAAGTTTCCTGGGTTATTTCACAGGGCAAATTTTTAGAAGTGTAGTCACTAGGTTAAGGGTGCGATCATTTTCACAAACTCAAGTTATACTATCACCATCAATGTATAAGAGTGTCTCATTCACCACACAGTCCTAGTGTTGAGTATTCTCTACAAATAAAATTCATTTACTAACTACAACAAACAATATTTCTTATAGGAAGTCAGAATATATACTAAGTAAGAAAACTGTAAAGCATGTACAATGTGCTCTCTCATAGACTGTGATATTTTTTTGCTTTTATTTAAAAATTTTTTTAAAGACAGGGTCTCCTCTGTTGACCATGCTGGAGTGCAGTGGTGTGATGATAGCTCACTGCAGCCTTGAACTCCTGGGCTCAAGTGATCCTCTTGCCTCAGCCTCCTGAGTAGCTGGACTACAAGCGTGTGCCACCATGCCCGGCTAGATTGTGATTGTTAACACTCCACGATCTATACAGCATTCTAGGTCTCTTTTTTTAAGAGACGAGGTTTCACCATGTTGGCCAGGCAGATCTCGAACTCCTGACCTCAAGTGATCCACCCGCCTCGGCCTCCAAAAGTGCTGGGATTACAGGAGTGAGCCACCACGCCCGGTCTCTCGAGTCCTCTTTAATTGCATGCATGCATGTACACAAACACAAGAGTCGAGGAGGTCTCCAGGTCCTCCAGCCTAACTTAAAAACAAAATGGGGCCGGGCGCAGTGGCTCAAGCCTGTAATCCCAGCACTTTGGGAGGCCGAGGTGGGCGGATCATGAGTTCAAGAGATCGAGACCATCCTGGCCAACATGGTGAAACCCCGTCTCTACTAAAAATACAAAAATTAGCTGGGCATGGTGGCGTGCACCTGTAGCCCCAGCTACTCGGGAGGCTGAGGCAGGAGAATTGCTTGAACCTGGGAGGCAGAGGTTGCAGTGAGCCGAGATTGTGCCATTGCACTCCAGCCTGGCGCCTGGCAACAGAGTGAGGCTCTGTCTCAAAAAAAAAAAAAAAAGGCTCTGCTTTTTCCAGAAAGCTGAATTTTATATAACTTTGAAAGAAGGGTTACTGGCTGGCTCTGGTGGCTACCGTCTGTAATCCCAGCATTTTGGGAGGCTGAGGCAGGCAGATCACTTGAGGTAAGGAGTTCAAGACTAGCCCTGGCCAACATTGTGAAACCCCGTCTCTACTAAAAATACAAAAAATTAGCCGGGTGTGGCGGCGTGCACCTGTAGTCCCAGCTACTCAGTAGGCTGAGGCACAAGAATCGCTTGAACCTCGGAGGTGAAGGTTGCAGTGAGCTGAGATCATGTCACTGCACTCCAGCCTAAACAACAGAGTGAGACTCAGCCTCCAAAAAAAAAAAAAAAAAAAAAGGGTTCTCGGGGACAGGGGTGAAAGAAAAAGGGATGCCAAAAACACAAACCATATGTAGAGTCCCCTCAGTAGCTCTACTTCTCCACCCACTCCCTTCTCCAGAAGTGAATAATGTTACCAGTTTGGTAGATGTACTTGCAACAATGTTATGTGTTTATGCACGCACATATATATGGACACCAATATGACTTTGTTTTTTCCATAAGTGAAACAGTATCATCATGTTATTTTCATCTTGCTTTTTGTACTTAACAACATGTCTTACAGACTATTCAATGTCAATATGTAGAGATCTGTGACCCTATCCCCTGATATACTGAATTACATGTACTTCCCTTAATGTACCACTATGCCCTGTGCCCTGACAGGCAAATACTTACTCTTCCTTCAAGGGGTATCACTTTCATGAAACCTTTCTGGACTACCCTCTCCTCCTCTGTGTTTTCTCTTTACTGTACTTACTTATTCGCTTCTGCCTCCCCATTTAACTTCAAGTTCTGTGAGGACACAGAATGGTTTCCTCACATTTATATCCTAGTGCCTACCACAGGACCTTACACATAAAAGAACTTTCTCAGTATTTGCTGCTCCGTGATGATATATAATCAAGTCTTATCCCCTTTATTTTTGAGACAGAGTTTCACTCTTGTTGCCCAGGCTGGAATGCAATGGCGTGACCTCTGCTCACTGCAACTTCCGCCTCCCAGGTTCAAGCGATTCTCCTACCTCAGCCTCCCAAGTAGCTGGGATTACAAGCATGAACCACCACGCCCGGGTAATTTTGTATTTTTAGTAGAGATGGGGTTTCACCATGTTGGCCAGGCTTGTCTGGAACTCCTAACCTCAGGTGATCTGCCTGCCCCGGCCTCCCAAAGTGCTGGGATTATAGGCATAAGCCACCGCACCTGGCAAGTCATACCCTTT